TCTGCTTTAATGCAGTATTCGCTGAGCAGCAGGTTCACATGTTTCCTCCCACTTCAGTTCACTTCTTGTATACCATCCAGTTACAGTTTCTATAGCCACTCCTCAACCTCTCCTAGCATCAGAATACCCTTTATTTTGTATACATTTACATATGCATCTATTTACATATGTACATTTGTACACATGTAATTGTAATCACCTTCCCCCCTTCTAAATTTTTCCCACTATCAAAACCCAATAGCCCATTCCCTGACCTTGCACTGAGCTTGTACTGAAGTCATGGGAATTTCTTCGACTTCATCTAGCTGTAATCCAATCACCAATCCATGAGTTCAAAATGAGTCTCCACCACAGGTCCCCACAAGTGTTCAGCATGGCACCTGAAGGAATAGTGTTTAAAACAACAGACGGGGAATGGATTTTGTCTCAGCAAACTAATTCCACTAGAAAAGCAAGAAATCTGGAATGCCTTGCTAATGGGAGCAACAAGATTAACAAAGCGTTCCCAAAAGGGTACCCCCTACCTTGCTCAGGCACTGAAAACCACCAAGAACCTCACATCTAAAACAAATACAGTAGTTTGCAACTTTTCTGCAATGGTGAACCTTTCATAAGTATCAGTACACCACAGCCAAAGGACAAACCTTCTTTGTATGTCAAATACTCTTTCCCACACAAAGCCTAACTCCAACACATGCTTCTTGACAAAGACACAAATGCAGCTGACCTAAACCCAGTCTTGGCTAAACTGAGTTCTCCCAAGTCACTCAAGAGTTAAGCTGGGCTACTGAGCACATCAAGGCAGCTATTCTCACACATCTGCTGCAGTGGGAAGGTGAAAAAAATACATTAGCTTCCATCAAGATTTAAGCTAAGGTATGCTTGTGACAATTCCTGTGTCCCCAGCCTCTTCAGCTTGCCAATAGAGTTCCATCCTCTGCCCTTATTCCCAGTCCAACAGTGCCCTTTCTTTTTTGGCTGTATAGGCACGTGTGTGGTCTCACAATGCACCAGAGCAGGTAACAGATGTGGATGAGAACAGGTAGGCATGACGGCTTCTTTCAACAGCAGTGCCAGCTCGAGAGGATTTGTGCAACCACAGCCTGTTTATCCAAGCATAGAAACATAGGAACTCAATGTATGACTCCCTCTTGCATCCAATCCTGCACAGGCATGGAGCTGCTCCTGAAAGAGGTAGTCCCTCTCCGTGTTACTCATGTCCAGTGGCATGCTACCCTTCTGCATCAGACCTAGCACTATCTGGCCACCAAGCAGGCTGATCCAACTTCCAGATCATAGTTTTTGTTTAAGGAAGTGGGTTAATTTTCAGTTGGAGCAGTGATTGAATTGATCTGAGGCCACTTGGTCACTAGATCCGATCCAAGGGAAGCAGCAGGAGCCTGCAGTCAGGACTGGATGAGAACTGATTGTTCCTTCAGCAGCAGCCTATAGTTACACTGGATTAGCCATCACCTGAAGCTGTACTCCAAGCAACACAAGTTATTCAGTTACATTTCTCAGAAAGCCCTGTCTGAGCACAGGCACAGTTAGCTGCTGCTCTAAATCATATCAGTGCCCCTATGACTACAGCTCTTCCCAGAAGCAAGAGGTTAGCACCGGCAACAACTGTAAGCTGGTGGTACAAGGGGCCACCTTTTTGCTGGAATGTGTCATCCTGGCAGCAACAGGCTCTCTGATCTAGCACAAAAATTTGTAGCAAGACTTTGTGGTTAGGAACCAGGCTGGAAAGATTGAGATAAGAAATTAGCGAGGGTAATCAGCCATTGGAATAATTTACCTGGGGAACCAGTGCAGCCTATCACTTGGTATCTTGAAATCAAGACTGGGTACTTTTCTAATAGAATTTTGGATTCAATGCAGTGATAACCAGCTGGGAATGTAAATACCTGACAGGGGTCAGAATAAGGCATCTGTCCCCAAATGGCTGATACTATGAACATCAACTGCTCATCTCTCAGAAAAGGGAAACAATTTTCCTCTGTACAGCCCAAGTGCCTAAACGATAGAGTGCAACTATACTTGCACTGTCACTTCTAAGTACTTCATTAAAAGATACAACAGGAGTTCAGCGAGGAGCTGCAAAGCTGAAAGGAATCACAGAATTTACCAGGCATGACTACAGAAATAAACTAGCTATGTATAACTTAGCTACACAGTAACCAAGCAGCCAACATCAAACTGGAAAGATACCAGATGACAGAACGCATGGTAAGCCTTAGAATCAAATATTCTTGGAAAAAAGTCTGATTCTGATTATGAATTTGAAACCCCTTGTGGGCTATTAAACTTTGTCTGGGATAACCATGGAGAGTGAATGTAATTTGCATGAATACAAACTAATTAAATATAACAGCCCACTTTAAACCAGACTCCAGAGTAGAATATGTTAAACAAAAAAAAAAAAAAAAAAAAAAAGTTTGGCTCTAGCTCTAGAAAGCACTTGAAACAAGTGAACTGTAAGATTAAGAGTCAATAGAACAAGATTAAGAATGCCTATCTAAAGTTAACAGGATGAAATAATAAAGAAAAAAGGTCCCAGGGAAGAGAGTCTTCCCAGAAAAATCTCTCAGGATGCACAAGAGGTTCCCAGAGGAAGTATTTGGGTTCCACTATTTCACACAGCAGGAACAAGGGGCTTCAGCAAGAGCACCAGCCTCAAGCCTGGCTGACTGTTGTCACTTGCAATTACATTGTATAACCTCACTCACAGATTTGATAAGATGGCTCTGTTACTGTACAGACAGCTCAGTGCTACCCTCAACTGAGAGCTGGCAAAATACAGAAGCCAACTGAGCTGTTCCCAGTATTAACAATAACCAAGAATTAAGAAGAACTCAGATTTGGTACAACTTCATGTCCGATTCGCAGATGCCTCCTCCTCACCCAATTCAGTCTGAAATCTGGGTCACCCATACATTATTCCTCCAAACCAAGCCACCTCCCTCCTATGCAGCCCTTTAAAAGGATCTCTGCCCTTATCCAAGCCATCTCCAAGAAGCCATTTAAGGTACGAGAAACTCCAAAGCACCATGGAATCAGGTCACAAAACTTTTAACATGCTACAGATGTGGTTTGGTCAGAGGACCAGGCACACAGCTCAAGGAGAAGCCAACAGCATCCCCATCCAGCAGCTCCAGACTTGGCCAAGTCTGCAATAAGTCAATACAGTTTAGTCGAGCTCAGATCGCCTTCCCTGGCTCTGTATTCCCTACCAGGTTTGATCCAGGTCTTATCCAACCTCTAGGAATAGAGGAAGCACCAAGCGCTAGGATGACACGGGTGCTGGGGGTAGATGGGTCAGGCCAGAACCGTGGGAGCTCAGAAGTCCCTGCAGCATGTTGTTTGGAGTCCTGAGGTTGCCACCAGAGCTGCTGCAGTGGCAAGGCTCCGAAGAGGCTGCAGAACGGAGATGGGAAGCTAGTACCTCTCCTTTTCGTTCTCCTCCCTTCCCTCCGCGACAGGCCATAAAAGTCACAAGGCGCCAGCCAGCAGAGCAAGGAAGAAAACAACACGGTGTCCAGAGTTCAAGCTCTGCCCCGGGACTCCCGGAGCTGAACCCCCAGCAAGCACCGTAGGACCTCGCTCCGGCGTGGGAGGCACCATCTCTGCCAGGCTGCTGGCAGCTGCGCCTGGGACCGGGCCTGTGCGTCGGGCCCTACCTGCTGCCGGCAACAGGAGGAGCGGGGCGGGGAACGGGCGCTGCCGTCCCGCACAGGCCTCCTCGAAAGCTGCGCCCCCCCCCCCGGCGCCTGCCCGGGGCCGGCAGGAGACGCCCCTACCCCCCCGCCCCCCCTTCCCCCTCCGGAGGCACTGGCCCACCGGAGCTCACGCAGCGCCCCGCCGGCGGGACCGGCTCCCCGGGACCCGACGACGGCCCTCCAGGGTCACCCACACCTGTGCGCCGCGGGCCCGGCCCCGCAGAGGAGAGCAGCAGGCCCGCCGCGGGTGGGGCGAGAGCTCATGTCCCCGGAGATCCCTCCGCCCAGTCCCCCTCGGGTCCTAAAATGGTGGGCAGCCCTCCCATCCGCTCCCCGAGCCTGCCCACCGCTCCGGCTGGGGGGGGAGCAGCCGCTCCTCCGGCCCGGCCCGAGCTCCGCGGGGATCCGGCGCCAGGCCCGCGCCTCACCCCGCCTCTCCCGGGAACACGGCAGCGCCGCTCCCGCCGGGCCGCGCCGCGCCGCCCCCGCCGGCCGCGCTTACCTGCGCCGGGCTCACATCGCCGTGCCGGGGGTAGCGCTGCTCGCCCTGGCGCCGCTGCCTCCTCCGCCGCCCCCCCTCGTCCTCAGCAGCCGGCCGCAGTCTCCCCGCCGCCCGCGGGGCCGCAGGTATGTCATGAGTGCCGAGGCTCCCAGGTGAGCCGGGCACACCTACAGGAAGGCAGGCGGGCCGCCCTGATTGGCGTGCGGGGCGAGCCCGGCCGGCAGCGAGCCGCGCTCCGACGGCGCGGGGCAGGGCGAAGCCGCCGACGACGGAGGGCCAGAGCGGGACGCGACGGTGGCTCCGACCCCTTGTACGCGGCCTCTGTCCACGGCTGGGCGCAGCCCTTCGCGCCCTCTGCAAGCCTCACTGCAAGGTGTTTAGGTAACTTTCCTTTTTCAAAATTAACTAATTAATTTATATATTTACGTTTAATTGCAACGGGGACAATAACTGTGCCTCCCCTGGGCATGGGGAATAGAGCACTTACCCCTTGGTTGCTTTGCCTCCAGGGTGAAAGCAGAGCGGGTACACCTGACCTACTGATCCCAGGTCCCCGGACTGGCTCCAGAAAAAGAAGAGTTTTTCTTTCTTTTTCTTGTTTGTTTTTGTTGCTGTTGGGTTTGGTTTGGTTTTGTTGGTGGTGGTTTTGGTTTTTTTTTTTCTTTTTTTGGTGGGGGTTTGGTTTTGGTTTTTTTTTTTTGGGGGGGGGGGGGGAGAGGAAGGGGGAGGGTTTGGATGGTTTTGTTTGTTTGGTTGTTGTTCTTTCTCCTGAGACCTGAGTCTCTTGTGTTACTGCTCCTTAAGGTCACTCCTTAACTTTGCATGCCTGTACCCTCCTGGTTTGTATTCCCTCCCAACGGGCAGTAGGGGTTTTAAAGAAAAGTGCCTGGCATTGGGAGAGTTGTCCCTTTGCCACACGTGGCAGGGCTTGGAGATCTCAAGATCACACCTGAGATCTGTCAAATAAATGTAAATGGATTTAACACCTGGATTCGGAAGGATCTAAGTAGGATGTGGGTAGAAAAACTCTGTACTAAAACCTGAACACACAGCTACCATTCTCAGGCATCCTATCTCTCCTAGGTACACAGGTCAATATCCTGAGGAGCCCTGTCTGTATCAAAGCTTTCTCTGGTTGCTGTGCTTAGATGTGGACTGAAAAGGGCCCAGCATATCAGTTCCCTATAAGGGAAATTCTGTCCCTGTCTGCCAGTTTGACTGTAGCAATAGGGGCACAGGGTCCATAGGGAGACTTCCGTCACGTGTGAAACAGAGCATGGCAGAGAAAGGCAGACATAAAGGGAAAAAAAGTGGGAGGACAAGTAGATGAAAGACAACGTGTGTTTGGGAGTAGCAGGAAAAGGGAAACCTTGACACAGTTGATTATTGTGCTCATTTAAAAAAAAAAAAAAGGGGGGAAAGCTCAGAAGTTTTGGGGTTTTCATTCCATGCCAAATAAACAGAGTAGGTTGCTTCATTGTCCGCTGCCTCAATTTTGTTTTTTGCAGCATAGATTCCTGGATTTGCTTAAAGGAATACAGCATTTATGTGAGAATGCACTTTACCACAGTATATATATTTGCAAAGATTGCAAGGTGGGCAAAGAATTATGCAGACAGGTGACTGAGGAAGGCATTATCTATATTACATTCTCTTTCTCCTCAGATTGATATCTGGTGTCACCTCTGCGGAGCCTTTTTCTCCTAATCATGTAATGAGGCTTGCAGGTGTGTATCCTCCAGGACATGCTCTGAAGAGTTCAGCAGAAGAGGAGAGGAGCTGGAACCAGCCACTGGAGAAGCCCTGTAGTCCACACCCATGCAGCCCTCAACCTGTCCTTCCCTGCATAATCTCTGGGGGGTCTCCCAGGCAGGAAAACTTCCCCAAGAAGCAGCACAGTGAAAGCCCTACCCAGCCACCAGCACAGTTGTACTCATGCTTGCTGCTGCTTTCTGATTCAATTAATGCTTTCATTCATTTATGTGCATGGATTATTTCATCATAGCGTATCAGCTAATGCAGTTGAGATTCCTGTTCCACATCATTGTGTTTACTGTCAGCAGAGAGGAAAGGGATGCTTCAAATTCCCGCAAGTCAAGAGACTGGGGAAATCAGCTCTGGATCATGTCTCTTTTGAGTTGGTGCTCAAAACCTCTGGGACATTACATAAATAGGCGATGCCTCTTCCTATTGCATTTTCTAAGTTCCTAGCAGCAGGCTGGAGTTGGGCATCCTGACTAGAAAATGGCACCTCTGTCATTCAGAAAAGGACAACTCATTGTCTAAGAAGGGCTTAACCTTTACCCTCCCTTTGGCACCTCCAGCAGCTGCAGAGGCAATTTTCTATTTGCTTTTATGAATCATATCCTGAGGTACCTTGCTTTCCCTGTCTGTTGCATAGGAAGTTTGAATGCTTAACTTTTCTTTTTATATTACATAGGGTGAAGAAGTGCCTGAAGTCATAATGTGCAGCTCTCAGTATCACAATAGCTAAATCCTTCTGTGGGCCAAGATCTTTTTCCCTAACTGGGTGGGAGCTGGACTCCTATCTTCTGTGTGGACCCATGCAAAATTACTGCAGAGGTGTCCCACATGGGTTGGGCTGCATTGTCTGCTCTCTCAGCCCACCAAATGGCGAGTTGCACCAACTGAGTACCTGGCATGTCGCTTTGTATCCAAGGAAACATATTCCAGTGAGACCTGGCAGTACCAGGAGCAGGGTGCTGTACCCTGATGTTCTCCTTCTTGCAGTGCCCCTGTACTGACTGAGCACACTGCAACCTCAGTGGGCTGAGAGGCAGTTCAGACACTAACCTCCCACTCAGACATCATCCTGGTAAGCATCATGTCCAGCTCAAGTCCTGCCTTTTCCCATCCTCACCACTCCATAGCACACATTATTCTGGGTTTAACTTATACTGTATGCAAAGAATGTGGTTGTAAATGGAAAAAGCCAGACAGACAACAAGACAAAATCTGGCAGGTTTTAGTAACACTTAGGTAAGATGCTGACATATCAGAAGTATTGGGGGGGGGGAGCGGGGGTGTAAGGGGAAAGGAATCTGAAGTTCTTCCTAAAATTAGCTAAAATCATTTGCTTGAGCCTGCACTCCTTGGAAAACCAAATAACTTCCCTGGGCATATTTAGTAGCTATACCTTACTCCAAACAGATGCAAACCTGTGTATATGGCAAGAAAAAACATCGTAAGAATGGCAAGAAACACAATGCTGAGTTTGGAAGCTGAACCCAAGTTAAGTTTATACAAGCAGCAAGTGAAACACCCATCCCCAGTGAGTCAGGTCCTGGCTGTTTCCTTCATTTCCTCCAAGGCTTGCTGTGAACACCCAGCAGTAACAGTCCTTCTGAAATTCAGTCATCTCCTTTCCTGCCCCTTATTTATAGCTTGCTCTCAGCAGTTAGCAGAGTCCCAGTATGCAGCACTGCATTTTCACAGGCTCTTCAGCACACTGAGAGAAGTGCAGGCTCTCCCAGACCTCAGCTCAGCTTTGGTAGCACAGGTCCCATTTCCTGTTGGATTTGTAAGTGCTAGCGCCTGTTGAGTGACAGCAGATGCTGGAATAAAGGAGGGGACAAAATGGCAGATTGCACAGTTCACCAGTGTTTTTTGGTTTTATCTTGAATACAGCTATATTGAAAGTGGTTTTATGTTCCTCTAACTGTCCCTTTGGGTTCAGTCTCTTAGGGCAGAGGATACAGTGGAATATTAAGGTGTGTCAGTGTGTAAACCGTTTCTCAGAGATATGAGTTTGAACCTGCTGATTCAGGCTAAGGTGTATCCTTACCATAAGGTGCATGCTCTGATTTTCCCCCTTGACAGCAGCTAAGAAAGAGCAGTATTTTTAGCTTTTGCTTCTTTCTTTACTTAACAGTAGTTCTTCATTTGTGGAAGTGAGCTTGGGCCTGTCATAGTCTGGGAATCTGCTTCAGTGACAGTTGTGGATGCAGCTGTGAACTCCTGTTGCTGTCTGGCATTTATCCCAGGGCATTCAGGAGACCATGGACTTCACATAGGCAAGTACTGTTTTCTGGAAACTTTCCTGAAACTTGTTACAGCATATATCCAGGGATAGGTGGCTATGACAGAAAGGATTAGGAAAATGCAGAACTGGGAAAGTCCTTCAGGTAATATGGCTAGAGCTGCTTTCCTATGTGAAACTAGTTATAAGCCCACATTCATACAACATAATCTGAGTTAATAATAGTAGCTCTAAGACAAAAATACATGTTGTCAAAGAGCACATACATGCTGAGAAGAGCAGTTATAGACTGAAATGGGCTTTCTCTCCTGGGAATTCCAACTAGTCTGCAGTGACCTAGACACTTTCTGTTTGCTCTTACAGAATAAAACCAGGAGAAAAATAATTCACTTAAATTATATATCTTTATAATCCTTATTCAACCTCATCCTTTTTTTTATTTTTTTTCCATACAAAAAGCAGCAGGGACTCTGTCCAAATGGATACCTGTTTGCCATGGAGTGATAGTTTTACCTCATGATGAACTATGTGCCAGTTACTATAAAGATCTACACTGGTAGGATGGATTAAAAATAAATGGCCCATTTAGTGTGTTGTACAAATTTCTCCCAAAATAATATCAGTGGTCTTGCCTGATGTGCAAATAGGGCCATTGTCCTAAATGGGTTGCTTGCTAAACCCCACTTCCTTACAGGTGCTGCCAGGAAAATATAAACAACAAATGGATGAGACTTCAGACTGACAGCTAGAGACAAAGGCTGCTGTCAGAGGCACAAGGGTAAGGGCTTGTCTGGAGAGTCCCTGCCTGTCAGCCACATAAGATGCAAAAGTGTATTTTGTTTGCATACAGTCATTTAGCCTGATGCTGCCCAACAGTTCCCTTGATTATAAGCTATTTCCTGTTTTAAAAGGCAAGAAACTAGTTCTTTCTTTGAAGATGAGTGCTTGGTCGAGGCTTTTGAGTTTTCCCAGTTACAACCACAGCTCTTTCACTGAAATCTGGACTGTTGTCAAGGGAAATGACTGCTCATGCCAGGGCTTCAGAAAGGTATGGGCTTCACAGTGCAGATGCTGGTTTCCTTGACCTTTCCTGATTTTGGTTGAATTGGAGCCAGGAATGGCAAGTCTCCAATAGCAAAAGCAGGCAAAATAGCCTCACATGTTACAAATATTGTTAGCTGAGCAGGAGGCAGGACAAACTAATGTGAATGGCTCACAGCATTAGGTACAAACCAAAGAAAGAAGAAAAAATCCACACAACATAGCTTCTGCACAGGATTTCATATGATCAGCTACAGCAAAACACAACCTAAAATTTCAGATTTATTGCCTTACATGCTATTTGAAAAGACAGAAGGAAACAGCTTAAAGCTAAAGTCCCGTTCAATATTACATCCTTTTTTTTCCCCAAGATTAATAAAATAATGGACTTCTTGTAAAAGCAGGAAGCTTCTTAGAATAAATTAAATATATAGCACATTTTTTTGAAATTATAGCTTCTTTTTATTCTTTGGGGGAAAAAAGGACCTATAACTAAATGGGGTATATTCTCTGAAGCCGCTGCCCAGCCTTTAAAGATTACATACTGCAGTCTAAGTTTCTACATTGCTAGAAAGATTTTCCTCAGCCAAAATTGCAAAAGTTAACATTTGATATACCTAATGCAATAGGACATCACATTCCTTCCTGTTGAATATATGGCTTTTCAAGCCCTATTCCGACCTGATTAATATGTGGACATCTATATGGGAGTGTCCCTGCAGCTAAATAACATGAGCTTGAGAAACAATTTTTTCCAAAATGTAGAGCTTGAAGTAGTGCAGGGAAAAGATGGTTAATGACCAAGAACAGCCATGACAGCATTCCTTGGTACTTTACACTGAATGTTGGTGTACATGTCTTTTACTGAGTAAGACTATTGCAGTAATTTCTGGTGTGTTGTCCACACACATCAGGAGGTCCATGGGTTACCTGAAGAGGATCTACAAAAGGGAACTAAGAAAGACAAAGGCAATATCTATGAACAAGGATCCTAAAAAAACCCCAACAGATGAAAAAATGGCGCTATATATTATTAAGGTGCCTCCAAAAGGACTAAAACACATTATGGAGAAAAACAATTTGTACTGGGGAATGAGCAGTCAGACAAGGAGAAAGATAGGAAAGCTTTTAATGGGCTTTGCCTCTACTCTGTCATCAAAAGTGTTAATTCCTGTTAATCCAGAACACACAACATTGGTCTCGCTATCCAGAAATACCACAAACAACTTCTGAAAAATCTTAACGAAAGTCAGTTATGCAAACATTTCCAAACAGCTGTTCTTTTACACCAATTGACACAGGAAATTTCTAGCTCAGTTACAGTTTTAAGGAAATCTTTTGGCTTACGCTTCCTCCTCACTGAGATGCTCTATGCAAAGGATATTGTGGTTATTGCTTGTTCCTGGCAGGTGCCTCTCACAGGCTGAAATCCTCTGTTGTATCTCCCAGGGAGGCTTTAGGAGGCAGCTCTTGGTTTCCTGCAGCGCTCTCAATTTCTGTGTGTGTGATTCTGCAAGAGGAAAAAGCTATTTTTTCCCCAAATCCTGTGTTGATCTCCAGTACGCTTGGCCTTCAAAGATCTGCAAGAACAGCTGAGAACATTGCAGGCTGCAGTGCAGGGGAGTAGCAGCTTCCTGAGGATACTGCAAAGTCTGGTCCAGACAGTGAGGCTGCAGCTGCCTGACTGCGATCCAGTTCTTAAAAGCCCCATCTTGGTTATTGCCTTCCCTGAATAGGAGACTAATTTGCTAACAGCTTTGCTCTTATGTGCTTTTTTTTTCCACGGCTCTGGCTACATGGCTGTAATTCATAGCCTGGACACTTCAAAGGTGTAATTTCCTCTTTTTACTCCTGCAGTACTCTTGATCTATGTCTAAGAATCACGTTCTCCCTGCAGACTGGCAGGATGGATGGCCTGTGAACTTGGCCTCTTGGGATGGAAGAAACCAGTGGAGATCAGCATCAGCAAACCGGCAAAAGGGAATTTGTCAGTGTCATGTCCAGCTGTCCTTCCTGCATGGTGGCAGCAGAGGGGCAGAGAGAGCAACTGTGCAGAAGTTAACTGCTTGAATTAGGCACAGCTAATTCGTTACGCAGACCTGAATCAAAGTCCTGATGTCTTGGTGCAGTAAATTGTTTCCCAGCCCACTTCATACACGTGTCTCTCACATACACATGCAGTAAATGCTGGATTGGAGTCTCTTACCAGCCTTGCCCTTTACCTGGACTTCACACACTGATGTTTCTCCTCCTTCCTTAGAAGTAAGAAAAGGCCTATACAGAGAAGATCTGTGACAGTGGCTATTTTTCCATTTTCTCTTACTCCAGCACCCTTTGAGAAGCCTAGGAAAAGACTGGTGGGACTCTTAAGATACTCCCACTCCTTTTGCCAAGGCAAGAACTTGCCAAGGCAAGCCTTTGTACTATTCTCATATATGGCTTTCATGGCAATAACATAAGTTGGGGGGTATGTGACATTCAAAGCCCTCTGTGGTCAGCCCTGCTGACCACAAATAAATCAATTTGCTATCAGAACAACTAGGAAATTTAATTCCTTCTTTCTGCTCTCTTCAGATTCAGGTAGGACAGCTATCCTGTGGTTGTTTCTTCAGGCTTTCTGTGCAACTGTGAGCTACAGAAATAAATCACTATAAGGGACAGGTGGAATACAAAGTCACACCACTGCAAGCAATCTTACTGTAGTACAGAGCTGCTCAAACACTGAACTATAGTTAGGACCTCAGCATGGAGAGCAGAAATGAAAGCAGAAGTATGCTGCCTCCAAGGGGCTTGCCAAATAATCTTCTGGTTCAACCTGAAAGGGAGGATCTTGCTGCGTAGGAGCTGGATGCAGAAAGCACTGCACATGCCCATGTGCAGCTTTTCACCCTTGCAGGCAGCTGCAGCACCTCGGTGTGTGCAGTGCAGGTGGGAGAATGACATTCTAAAGCCTTCCCCTGTGCTTCAAACAGCAGCGCTGCCTCTGCCACAACCTCGTTCCTGCCCATCCGTGCTCACTCGGAAACCACTGTGCTGGGAAGCTACTTCTTCCTAGCTGAGATCCTCTTACGATAACGTCCGTGTGTTGTTGCTTGTGGTATAGGTCAGTAGTAATGACTCAGACCAGCCCTTCACTTTCCTTCCTCTTGTTGGCTAGACACAAAATCCAGCCCACAGACAAATTAATCTGTCCCATGCACCAATAAAGATGATTCCCTGTTAATTAACAAATTGCACACAAAAGTCCCCGGCTTGTATTAACAGACTCTTGAATGCCTGTGAAATCAAGCACTTAAAAGTTCAGGAACTCTGCATTCTCCCTGCAACCTTGACATAGGGTTTGTGGGTTTTGTTTTGACTATTTTGGTGGATATAATTACATATAATAGTGTAACTTTTAATGAAATAAACGAAGTAATTTTTCATCAGCTTATTTTATTTTTTTTTTTTGTAGGGGAGGACAAACAAAGCTGAAATGTGCCTTGCTCCACATTCTGTGTCTTCGCATGCGAGGAGTCCTTGAGGTGGAGATCTCCAAGCCTCTATATGTAATAACGTAGTGCCCCCTGTTGGGAAGCTGTTGCTGACTGTCTCCCGGCCGTGTTCAGGTGAGATGATATTAACACAAATGCTAGACTGTTTCACGTGATCCTGTACACTGATGAAGTCTGTATAGCATCAAACCAACAGGTTTAAAAACACACCTTTTCCTCCCTCAGATATTTTTTGTTGGGCTCAGACAAGCAGTTGCACTGGGTGCCTATTAAAGCTTTCTGTGAGAGTGTTCAAGAAAGATCTACTGGTTTATTATAGTTTCAGCTTTTTCAAAGCAAAATCTCTGTGATTTCAGCCACAGGAGATGAGAGCCCCTCATTCAGCTCAACGCATAGAAGTCAAACTGGCTCACATCAGCAGGGAGATGCATGGGGCTGCAGACTGGTTGTTTACTCTGGATCTGTGGTGGTTTCTGTAGCCCAAAGAAACAGTCCTCAGTCTTTCCCTAGACAGAGAGGGGTTGTCAGGCACAGGAAGCAAATCCTACCACCTGGGATACCCTCTCCTATAGTGCAACAATTATTTCTCCCATTCCTGACAGCAACAGGAGAAACCTCTTTTCTATGGATTTTACCTGATCCCTCTTCTTCCCCTACATTGCAGAAGCAGGGCCAAGGTTGGCCCTTTTACCTCCCACCCATCCTGCCACCCTCATCACGCAGTCCTAACCATACCCTCACCCTACTACAAAAATTGCAGTGAGATTAATGCTATGGTTCTCCACTTGCGTGGTGTTGGCCCAGGATAACATCCCTTGTCAGGGTCTACCTGGAGAGCACTGCCCTGGTCACATTCATTTTCTGCGTGACTGAACCCTTACTGTAACTGAACTCTCACCGAGTTTCTGATCCTTAATATCAGTGACCTTGCTAGGTCTTGAAATGCATATTCTTTTTGGCCCATGGTAACACAAGACCAAAACCCAGCTAGGCCACTCATGGTGGCTTTCGTGAAAGCCCTAAACTTAATATGAATCCTATAATGGCCCACAAATTTAATAACAGAGAATGAGGTTACTGAAATCACCTTCTCGATGGTGAGGTGGTATAAAACCCATTTTATGCCAGAAGAGGGTTTCCCCATGCCCCTCACTCACCTCAGTCATGGAAAACGAAACCTTTCCCATATGATGGGCTGTAAATATGGATGTGAGCTTGCAGAGAAAAATACAACAGTCCACATTGGGGTAAGGAAGAGTTGTTTGTCTGGAGTTATGATTCTGTTGTTGGAAGGGCAGACTGAAGAAGGATTGTTTTCTATGAGCACATTTTTCATGAAGTAAGCTTTTGTCCTTAACACACAAAAGAGCCCTTTTTTGTGATTCACACTGTGTGGTATTTTTAGTTTTCTTTGCATTTAATTAAGAATGGCACAAGAATAATACTGAAAGTAAAACATAAAAGCAGAGTGACCCTATAAAAAGAGTGGGGTTTTTACCTTAGAAAAAACACTTGCTACATTACCTTAGAGGCTTAGATGGTAAACTGGCTGAGGTAGAGACCATGCGCTTGTCCTGTGTTGGCCATACATTTGTCACAGTCAGTCTCTTCTGTCTCTTCTGAAATTTTCACATCTGCTGGTGAATTCCAAAGCATCTAAGAGAATAAAAAATCAAAGACCAAAGACAATGAGTTGCTTAAGGTTTACCTTGTCAGAGCTATAAGGTGGTAGACATGAGATCTAGATATTCGACTTCTGTCAGAGGACAGAAGTTGAGGGAAACAAATCCTTGTAAGGTCTTAATGTAGCCTAGGATCTAAAGTACTTACAGGGTACAGCTAACAGTGACTAATGAAGTGCAAATAATGATTCATAATAACTCCAGAATATGTTGTACCATGCTTTTTCAGAACAGAGCGAGCATAAAGTTACCTTCTTTCCTGTTTTGGGCAGGTGCTTTCTTTGCTTACCCAGCACCCAGATAGCTTTCTTAACACCCCAAAGATGCCATTTGCTGTCCTGCTGACTTCACTCAATCTGCTGCTTTTTTTTATCTCTTTCTCTATCACCACTTCAGGGTTCCCCCTTCCCTGGACCTCCTCCTCCCTCATTAGTGATTCTCACAGAACCAACACTACCTCCCAAGGCCTATCTTCTTAATAGCATACTCACACCCAGCCACTGTTACTCCACTGCACTGAAGCACTGTCAGATTGTTCTCTGAAGTGTCTGGGGTTGTGCCACATATTCCCTCCAAGACTCCCAACAGTGGCTTAGATATCTTCACTTTTATCCCATCTGTGGGGCAGGAGTGCCTGTCTTGCAGGACTCACAGCACACCATTCAGGTGTTGATTTCTTGCTGCGGTGTGTTCATTGATGCTGAGTAAGGGATGAATTCCGGCTCCAGCTCTTCCCACACGGAGTACCCAGATCAGGCTTCCCTCCAGTGTGAACCAGCTGATGCTGTCAGGTCAGAATTCCTATCAAAACCCTTCCACATTCACAGAACCTAAGGGGTTTCTCTCCCATCTGGACCCTCTGTTGGTCAATGTAAAGGTCAAAGTGTGTTCATTTTCATACGAATTTTTAGATGATATGTCTCCTTACTTTCAGCTGGGGCAACACTATCAGCTGGAATAGAGGGGGTAAAAACTCATCAGATATGATTATTCCCTCAAACACTGCATGAAGAACAGCATTTATGAGGATGAAAGCCATGAACCAATACACGTAGCACTGTGCCTGATCTCACAAGATATGTGTATATCAAAACACTGATGAGACAAGTGTCTCACCAGATCACCCAAATCTCTATAAGCCAGAGCCACCTAGCTCTACCAAGCCTATTTAGTCATTCCATTGTCATTGCAGCTTACTTTCCAGCAGAGGGAATGACTTGGCAGTGTCAAGGTAGTTTACATTATCTGCATGGGATGGACTGAGGATCACCTCCTCGTATTGTCCAGGGACTGCCAGCAAGCTGCCGAGTCAGCTTGTAGCCCTAGCCAGGTGTGCCACAAGCATTAGCTGGCTGGCTAGCCAAGCTTTTCAGTTACTTACTGGGAGTGGGATCATTTGGTGGTGAAAGGCCAGACTGAACTCAGTATCTGATTACACAATTAGCATCAGACACCCATGCAGCATCTCAAGAAACTCTCCTCTATAATTCTGTGTCCTTTAGGTAATGCAGCTAAGATGTCCAAATGGACTGGGAATGTCTGCATGCCTCAGTATACTCTGTATGTTGGGATTATTCTGCACCATGATGGGTATCAAAAGAACCACGCAATCTGGTTTGTCCCAGTGCCTGAGGTATCCTATGGCCCCATAACCTCAGATGGTGGAGAAATAACTGCAGGCATTTCAGTAGAAATAACAGTGCCTGAAAGAACACAAAAGTGGCCAGTGCTTCTCTGCAGGACACAACCCTGCAGGCTGCTACGTGTGAGCAGGAGATAACAGAGGAAAAGGGTTGGTAGCACGAAGGAGGTGTGATAAGGTAACTCATATGACAGAAATAGTGCTAAAAGACCTTGCTGGTATTTACCTGCCCCAGAACTGCAAGGCAATTTCTTTGAGAGGAAAGATCAAAGTTTGCTATCCAAATGTTATTTTCAACTTAAATGCTTGCATTTGTAGCAGTAAACTCAGGATTTGTAAGTCCAAATGCTGAACTTTTTATTTATCACCCATATATTTAATGATCCACGTGATATGTATGGATAGACGTCCACTTTCCAAAGTCTGAGAAATAGCACGGTAGTCCATTCTTTACTGAGAGCACAGTGATGTCTGATTAACTTCTTAGAGGTTCTGGTGAAGTGGGTTTCACAACCTCCCCAGCTAGTAATCTATTGCAGCTCTGCCTTACTCAGAGACAGCTTTTGCAACATCCAGCCATTTTCTTTTTTCCTTTCTTCTTTTCTTTCCTGAAAATTAAACCAGTTAGATCTTATCTTTGTCCTTCTAGCAACGCAATCACTGCCTCTCTTCACAACAACCTCTCATGCACTGCAACTGCATTATCATGTCCTGCCCTCCTTCCAGCCATTTCCTGTAGACTCAACAAACCCAGTTCTCCCGCTTCTTCCCAGGGACTGTTTTCCAAACCTCTTATCTCTGCAGAGGTGCTCACTGCCTGGGCCAGCTGAGCTACTTGATGTTGCCCTGTGTGGTTTCAGTGGTGGCTTCCTGCTTCACTCCACCCTGTAGCCTGCCATCCGGGCACCCTGTTTCACAGAGCGGGGCTGGCCTGCTGGGATGGGATGGGGTGGGATGGGATGGGATGCCTGCTGGGGCCGGGTGAGGATGCTGCGTGGGTGCTGGGGCTCTTCTGTGCCAAGTGCTGGGAGCATGGGTGCCAGGCCCCTGGGCCCTACCGAGCGCAGGAACCGGCATGTGCAGTTCACTCCTCTTCCCTGCCAGGAAGTGGCCTCCTTGGCTTACGGGCTCATCCTGGATTCCCAGGTTCAGAAAAGTCACCATCTCTCTCCTCAGCTGCTCTCAGATCATAGGAGCACAGAACAGTTTGGGTTGGAAGGGACCTTAAAGATCATCTCATTCCAACCCCTGTGCCACAGGCAGGGACACCTTCCACTAGACCAGGTTGCTCAAAGCCCCATCCAACCTGGCCTTGAACACTGCCGGGGATGGGGCAGCCACAGCTTCTCTGGGCAGCCTGTGCCAGCGCCTCACCACCCTCTCAGTAAACAATTTCTTCCTAATGTCTAATCTAAATGTACCCTCTGTCAGTTTAAAGGCATTGTCCCTTGAGCTTTCACTACAGGCCCTTGTACAAAGAGTCTCTGCATCTTATATGTCACCTTCACATATTGAAAGGCCACAATAAGGTCTTCCTGGAACCTTTTCTTCTCCAGGCTGAACCCCAACTCTCTCACACTGTCTTCAAGACAAGTTAATTACATTTCTGATTAATTTCTGGTAATTCTCTTAGGAGGCAGAGTTCCCCATGTTCTGTGGTATGTAAGCATTTGAGGAACTCCTAGAGGGAGCAGGCTACAAAACCCAGTCCTCTCTATCTTAAGAGCACCAGCTTCCAGGTTCATTTGGAGTTGGCATAGCCCTACATTTAGCTCTTTGACAAACCTTGTATCAGCTACTTCAGTAGACACTAGTGGAAATCCTGGTCATGTGCAGCATTACAGAACTAAATCTTTACTGTCTGAAGACCTCAAGCAGCATATAGTTAGCTTTTTATTACCAATGTTCCCATTAATACTTTATTAGAGAAGTGGCACATTCTGCTGTTGTTTATTAGCACTCGTCTTCCCAGCAGCTCTGTCCCTCCCAGTAATCCTTATGTCCTTCCCACATTCCCAACAGATTCAGTGTCCCTAAACCAAATATTTTGATCTGCTGCCTGGACAAGGTATGACATAAACTGCCAAACAACATGGATAAGGGCCAGTCTCTCCCTGCTGATCCTCACATGGGGGTACCGGTGAGAGCTCTCTGCTGTACCCATCTGCTGATCTCTGGCTATAGGAACATGCTCATTTTTGATTCTTCTATGTGCATGTTAAATTTGAAACGAGCCAGTTCATCCCTAAGTGACTGATGGGGGACTGACAGTGTGTTAAAAAAGCCTTACTTCCTCAAGAAACTACAGAAAAAAACTTCCATGAGCCTGTCAAAAGTATATCATTAAATTGATCCCCAAGTCTGAAAATACGTATTTTAATAAAGATTGGATAGAGCGTTTGAACTGCCTTCTGATTTTGAGACTTCTGTCTCACTCTGAATATATCTAAGTGGAAAGCAAGTTTAGGATGAGCAGACTGACCCTGTGTTCACAGGGAAGAGGGGGTAGGAAAACACTTTTTCATTCTTTTTTCTCATTTCATCCAAAATCTCTTGAGGGGAGGGGTGGGATAGAAGAGCTTTGCCTGCTTGCTGCAGCAGCTCTCGTTAAATGCTTCTCTTGAGAAAGCTGGAAAAGGGCAGGTAAGCAACCAAAGACATCAGGCTCCTTCCATCAAGGGCCTGCTTCCTTGGGGTAGTTCCTGCAGAAACTGGGGGGTGCATTTGAGGCAGGCAATCGGGGGAAGACTGGGGCTGGTGTTTGTTTGCTCACGTCTTAGTAGCTGCAGTATGGGTGTCTTCACCTAGAGGTGTTCAAAAACCATGTCACAAGGCCCTTAGTGACATGGTTTAGTGGTGGACTTGGCAGTCCTGGGGTAATAGTTGGTCTTGATGATCTTGAAGGTCTTTCCCAACCTAGATGATTCTATGACTCCATGATTCTACAGTTCGGGCTCCCTTTACAGTCATTGGAGAGAAATGGACACTGTTAGGCAGTGATTCATCTGGCCTATTTTAGATGTTCACCTTACGAGTAGGTGAATCATGCCCTAGAAATGCTTCTTGAATATTTGAATAAGGAGCTTTTCTTGTTTTGTTCAGTGACTTATTCTCAGTTTGTTATATGCACAATGTCTTCCTTTTAAGTAATATTTTTTAATTCTCTTCAGTTTTAGTAGAGAGTTAATTTTTACTCAAGATTTTTTACTCAAGATGAGGATGTGCTGATAAGACATCTTTCTCTGAGAGCTGGGGTTTCAAAAAATCAGCAGTTTCACTCCTGTGGTTTTGTGGCTTGTCTCTGTAAAGGGTGCGTGAAATAGAAATGATGAAGTATTAAGACCAAAGAAGATAGAAGCCCAGAGGGGAAAAGGATGAGCAAGTCAGAATCTGAAAAAACACAGTCAGGAAACACAGATGATGTGGTTTCTGTAAAAAGCCTGTTTGTTCAGTTAGAGGGGAAGGGAATTTGTGTATGCATACCTGCAGTTTAATTAACTGTAGGAATCGCTGTGTATATGCAAAAGGGCAGATTTTTTTTTTTTATAGACTACCCAATATCATATTATTATATTGGACACTATACAATGTAGAGATATACTATGACAGATCTTATGTGTCTCTGTGTGTATATATTGTTGTAGACTCCAAATCTCTCTGCATAAGGTGGCAGAGGAGCTTGACAGAGAAGGGTCTGTGTGTGGAAAGTGGAAAGCGATGGAATAAATGATTTTTTCATTAACTCCAATGATCCAGCTAGGTATTCAGGTTTTAAAGTTGCATTTCCAACCTTCCAGTGTAGCTAAGAAACACTTGGAGATGGGACCTAGCTTCAGAAACGGTCCCCAGATGTAAAGATGTCTGTCTGCAGAGGTTAACAGTGACTCTTTTCAATTGTCTGAATTTTCCCTCTAGATCCCTTCTGCACCAGGGCAGCATGTGCAACAGCACATCAGCAGCTGCTGTATTTTGAAATCACTATGGAGGGATGCTGTGCTATTGCTCCAGCCCCTCTGAAGGGGTCAAGAGTCTGGTGTTGCTTTCTCTTATCTTCTTGCTTTTTCTTGTTTCTGGTTTATTCAGTCAGCATAGGGTCAATCAAGTAGTAACGTGGGAAGTGGTTTAACTCAGGTGGAACATACACCTGAGCTCTAATTCATGTTCCTATGTAAACATGGTTGTCTCGCAGCCACAGGCCAGGATTAGAGGTGCTACATCACAGACATTTTATTCTCTCTATTGTATTTGCTTTGCCTCCCATTGAGCTGTTGTCAGGAGCTACCAATGAGCTGCATTAATTGTTCTTTCTTATGTGTGTTTGTATGAAAGCTGTGTTTTAAAGTATGTCACCTAAAATGTGTTTGTATAAAATGTGTTTATAAACTTGTTTATAAACTTTACTTATGAAAAGGGTTATAGACTGAAGTATAAAAGACTGGTTGGCAGTCTTGGGTAGTTGACAGAACTTCATTTACGATAGATAAATGCATTGTTGTTACTCAAACTAAGCAGCATTCAAGCTATTCATGGAATGGCATTCATCTTTAATAAATATTTTACATAATACATGCAAGTTATTCATGGAATGGCATTCATTTTTAATAAATATTTTATGTAATGCTGACCGCTTGGGACTCCAAGGAATTAAGAGTCTGTAACAGCGTGGTCTGTCGTCTTCCTTGATTTTGATCTCAGTGCTATAAAAGTGGTTGTAATGGGTAGTTTTCAGTTCCAGACCCCCTGAACATTTCCAGTGTATTGGTCAACTGCTGTATAGCACATGCAAGCCTATTAATAGATCTTCGCTTTTCCTTGTGACCTTTCATAGAGTCCTTAGTACTTGTTTTAATGCACACCCCCTAAAAGTCAAAGTGGCTTCTATTTTGGGTGGTATAGGATGCTATTTTAAAACATAATACAATTGGGGGTGCTTTCCTTGTTGCAGTTACAGATGGCAAATCACCCTGGACCCTTCACGAGTTCAAACGCTAATCTTTGGGAAGAGCGAGTGCTGGAAGCCTGGTTAAGAAGCTGTGGGGCCATTTATCAGCTGTGCTGATGCTTAGCTTTTGCTGGAGGTAGGTGTGGGGCATAGCAAGCTCTGGCCAGGATGAGCAGAAGATGTTTTACATACTGAGACATGGTATAAAATGTGCTTTTTAGAATTATTTACTATGAAATTAATTGCAAGAATGAATAAGGTCGTTGGTATTTAATCTGAGGTAGAGTTGTGAAACTTCAGATGACTGTGCAGGAGTTTTAGGTTGCTGTGATGACGTGTTTCATCCAGGGCTAAGCAGCTCTTCTAGGCAAAACATGTCTTTGTGGTTACAACTTTTCTTGTATTTCTTCTTGCTTATGTAGAAAACTTGTATGTGTAATAATTTGAAAAATTGAAAGACTTTTAAAATTTCATAAATAAAATGCTTGCTTCATAAAATTTCTCAATGAAAATATAAGTATTTGATTGATTATAAATACAAATGTACAAATGTGTAATTAGAAAGCAATGCAATGGTCCATTCTCAATTGTTTTATCTCTGTAAGAGGAAGGAGTATTCTGAACTGAGTTTTGTGGTGGCTGAGTTTACAGTAATATTATGTGCAACATTTTGGTTTATACTGCAGGGCAGGGGCAGGAACACTTCTATTTTTAATGTTGTGTTTTAATGCTATGGATAATTCACAATGCTTTCTTTTTGTACTTTTCTCAGTTGATTGTGCCTAATGCATTCATGTCATGAAATAGGTGTATTATGGTGGGATGAGACCTTTGCAGCATGAAATAGGGTCATAAGTATTTTAAATCTGACCTCTAGGTTTGATAAAAATCTTAGATCAGGTGTTACCCACAATGGTAATAATATATAACATACAAAGCTGAGCTTTCACTCCTTCTATCAACTTTATAATTACAATGTTCTTAAGGGTTTCTTGCTTTCAGAAAAAAATCTACCTGCTGTTTGTTTGCAAAGGAAAATGTGAAATTTATGAATGAAATGGATCATAATAAAGAATGGGAAACAGACCAAAATGCACCATGCAGCCTAAGATGGTTTACAGTTTGATTGTATGATCTTAAAGATCTTTCCAGCCTAAATGATTCTATGATGGGTTGGGTATTGTTTGTTGTTTTCTCTTGGTTTTTTTGTGGTTGGTTGGTTTTTTTTTGGGGGGGGGGTGGGTGGGTGTTTTTTCCCCTTGGTTTTAAAATATCAAATTTTCCCCATTCCACTTCTGTTTTTCCCATTGCTGACGAGACTGGATTGTTAATCTAAACCTGCAGAATGTTATTTCTCTGCTAGGTGCCAGGTGACGTCCCAGCGTTTGACCTGTGCAATACTGGAAAAGACCACAGGAGGGGTGTTGCAGCAAGGTCTTCGAGGTGCTTCATCGGAAAGCTGTGTGGTACTGATGGCTGACGCTGGGTCTGGAAGAGTCCTGGCAAAAGTCCGTATCAACTCTAGCTAGCCCATTAGACTTTAATTTTGTTATATGAGGGCTTAATTAGGTCTCTTGTAATAACTCTAGAGCGCTCACATAAAGCTAGAGAATGACCCCATGTAGTCATTAGAAGCCACAAAATACCTGTGTGAGTCAAAGAACCTTACCCAAGGAAGGGAAAACTCTTCATCCACAAGTAATTTCTAAACGACTTCGCATGAATGTGGGAAAATAACTCATTTTTCCTTGGCAATTTCTAAGAAAAGTCATGGGTGTCTGCAGTTTCTCTTAGACTAAGAAAATAGGTGCTGCAGCTGATGGGAGGGTCTCTACTGGAAGATAATGGGCCATTGGAAAAGATGGTGAGCAGAATGCTAAGCACACACTGCTCAGTAAGGAAATAGCTGCCACATATTTCTGGCACCAGCCATTTGGGGTTTAATGCTTTTTTGTTGCTGGAAGAACAGATAGAGCCTTAGGCTAGTGAGGTACGAATTAGGTGTGACTCCTACTCACGATTGTTTGAATTGACTTAATTGTAAAACTTTTCAACTTTTATTTTCAATTGATAGGATAAATCAAGAGTTAAAACAAAATGGGATTTTAGTAGACTCAGCGCATTACCTGGGAAAACATTCAGGATTAGGCCAGCCTGCTTTATCCTGCAGGTAAAAGGACCAATAGATCCTCCTGTATGGTTTTAGCAGCACTAAATGTGCTGCTGGCACTCCATAAAATGGACACAGCCAATTTATTCCTCTGGCCTAAAAGTAATTCTGAGCTGGTTTACCTTTGTCTGTCAACCTGGTTTCCTGAGGACCATTTTTCACCCCCTTTCCATTCAGTATCTGTGACAGGGGCTGTGGCTCCATGTTACAAATTCTTCTGCAGTTTAAGAGCTTCCCTTTTCAGTTTCAACCCTCTCCACATTCCCCTCCCGTGTTCCACAGCTGAATGCTATCTTAGTTACAGTCACTCAGTGGTCAGTGTAACTGCCCTGTTGTAAATAGTTCCCTGTTGAACCATGTAGAGAAAGAATGGATGCTGATGTGCTGTTGCTCGGAGGGAGGAAGGAAGGATTAGTTGGGGTTAGGTAAGGATAGAAAGCTTGCTGCTGTAGCTATTGCACCATAGAGTTCACCTTCAGAAACACCAACATATTAAATAAAAAGATGCCTCATGTTTTCCCTTTTAATCCCATTTTGTGCCTGCTAAATCCATAATAAATCACCTAAAGAACAGGGGATCACCTTGGATGCCTTCTGCACTAATGCCTGCAATCAGTCCAGCCCCCAAATAACTGCCATGCCAGTTTTCTGCTTTGTCTGTGCTCCGGCTTTTCCCACCTATCTGTGACTGAGCTCTTAGCATGATATTTCCCTTCTGGCTCTGCCCAACCAAGACTCCAGCAGCCAGGCAAACAGTGGCATTCCTGCTACTCCTGTGCTTGCTGCAAGACCTCTCTCCCAAGAGAGAGGCTGCATTTCTAAAAAGATAGCATGCCAGTATTCCTCATAATTTTTTCATTATCTTCTTGGGAAATCTTTTTCTTAACAGGAGATGAAATCATGGGGTTTTGCATATGCTTTTTTTTCTGCAGTTTCAAAAGCAAATGCTGTAGGAGGTCAGGTGTTTTGCTGAGCCACCATTGCTGTGGCATTTCTTCTTTGGCTGACAACTTGACATACTGAGTGGAATCTAGGCAGAAGTCACTCCTGTTGCATGAAGTGGTGGTGAAACACCGGTTTCCCAGTTCTCACGTTGCCCAGAGAGGTGGTGGATGCCCCGTCCCTGAAAGCCTTGAAGGTTAGGTTGGATGAGGCTCTGAGCAACCTGGTCTGGTTGAAAATGTCCCTGCTCATTGCAGGGGTGTTGGACTAGGTGACCTTTCAAGAGTCTTTCCAACCTTAGCTATTCTGTGATTCTATAAATCATTTCTGTACTTGTGCCTTTTTGTGGAACAAAGTCTTCATCTAACAGTATTTCCATCATTCTTTTCCCACATCAGCAATTGCTCATGCACTCTATTGGAGAAGCATGTCATATACCCCAGCAAGTTATTTTAATTGACTAAGATGTCTTTTTTTTTTGTTGTTTCTGAATAAATCTCTAGATTGTTAATTATACTTTTCATCTTTAAATTATGCTTCAGAATTACTATCTTTTTATAGTGGTCAGTAAATACCATATGTCTCAGGCATGTTAGTTGACCACTATATAATGTGCCAGCAGGGGCTGGCTAACTGGAATTTAAGCTTTGTGTGTGTGTATGCATTTTGGTATAGTATCACTACATAGTATAAAATTAGCATTTTGGTCCACTGAGTCCAACTCTGGACCCATGCTTAGGTTCTGGCAGCTCTTTTATTTTTCCCTCAGCATTTTGCAGTGGAACAACTTCCCTCCCTTTTTCTTTCAGTCTCTGCCTCCAAGACCACAGAGGCTTTTGTCACTTTCATGAACTTTCTATGAAAGCCACGAATCAAAACACATGGTCCATCACATACGCTCCCTCTGACATGTTTTCACCGAGTCACTCCTCCAACCAAGGTGAGCGTGCCGCAATACTGTACTCCAGGCAGAGGACCTAATTAACTCCCCACTTCTAGGTGCTGGAGGATGTGCCAGGTTTCTGTTTTTAACCTGCTACTCCAAATACAAAGAGAGGATGCTTTTCCCAAAGCAGACAAGATAACGCCAGGGCAACAATCCCCATAAACACAGGAGGACATCGGCCCTGTCTCCCCATCCCTTATGCTGTCTGTCAGAGCATGCCACCGGGGAAAGACGAAGTAGGAGAGAGCATCCCAGCGGCAAAAAGCTCAAAGGAGGCAACAAAACCCAGAATCTTATGTTACATCAAACCACTTGCACCAAGAAAAATAAACTTTCAGGTTAGGGCAACAGCACATGAGAGAAAGCCAAGCTGCCATTTGGCTTGAAGGGCTTTTCTTTGTTTATCCAACCTGCAAGTGTCTAAAGTGTGTACTAGATGGAGGAAGGGAGCAGGAAGAGAGCTTGAAGCAGCCAGGGTTACCTTGAGCCCCAGGGTATGAACCTGAAAATACCAATGTTTTGCAGAGCAGAGAAGGTGCCACTTACAGTTTTGTGCTGCAATACTTAGCATTTCAAAGCAAGCCACATGTTGCTTTAAAATACCAGTAGATCATCTCTAGAGCATTTTCTAAACACATTTTGCACACGTCCTGATAACTGCTCATGGCTGGTGTCCAAACAAACTACTCAGATGGCAAACTTTGATCTCTGCAGGACTTGACATTTCAGCACACAGGCTGGCAAAACAAGCAGGTAAGCAAGGTATGAGAACTCCTCTCTGCCTTGCAGACCAGCAGACTTGTTTAGACTCCCTGCATTCAGCTTGCCTGGATTCACTGAGAAAGGTGCAGCTAAACCAGGCACAATGCCATCTTATTTCTGTGGCACAGACTTGTGAAGTTCCCTAGGCCTTATTTGTTGCATAAGGAGTAAGGCAGGTGGCTGTAGAGAAGCTGAAATGATTGCTGCTGGGCATTTAAAGCAATCATTCATGATTGCAGTTTCCCATTCGGTACCAGTGATGATTAAACGCAACTAATCTAAGCCTCTCCTCCCTTTTCCTCAAACATTTTTTGCCTGTCATACTGACACAGCTGTTTGTGTGTCTGTACAGTGGATTGGATCACAAACTGATCTGGCTAAAAATAACCAAGGATAGAGTGGAGAACTATTACTCTTTATCCACTGAAGCTTTCCAGTCCGCCTCATGATGCAGTTGCACACACAGCTGCACTGTCACAGAACAGCAAGGGAGTACTAGTACTTTTTAGAAGGGCATGTAGCAACAGCAGAAGGGGGAATGGCTTTAAAGTGAAAGAGGGGAGATGTAGATAAGACATTCGGAAGAAATTCTTCACTATGAGGGTGGTGAGACACTGGCACAGGTTGCCCAGAGAAGCTGTGGCTGCCCTGTTCCTGGCAGTGTTCAAGACCAGGTTGGATGAGGCTTGGAGTGACCTTATCTGTGGAAGGTATCCCTGCCCATGGCAGGGGCTTGGAACGGGATGATCTTTAAGGTCCCTTCTAATCCAACCATTCTACGATTCTATGAGTAAATGACCAAGAGGACTCACAGAAGAGGTGAGGAGGGGACAGTCATGCTGACTTGGAAAGAAAAGCAGGGGGAGCCATAGCTTCAGTGGGATGAGCTGTGTAGTACAAACCCGGCAGCTTCACTCCCCAAAGATACTTAGCAAGAGATGAGCACTGATTCCAGCTGCATAATGTACATTTGAAAAGATTAATTCCCTGGTCCTCCTCTGGAAGTACTCCTTGTGTGCAAAAAAAAAAAGGTGGATTTCTGTTTAATGCATTTGTCCCGCTTTCTCTTAACTCCTTGCTGCTCCCCTGGAGCTGTCGTTTCATGAAGTGGACTGCATGGTGGCAATACCAATTTGAGGAACTGCTGAGTTCTTTACATGTTTGTTACCACGCGCCCCAGACTGCAGTTTTCCCTCCCTTGTGCCAACCCTGCTGTTTGTGGAGCTGTGCTGAGTGCTGGATCAGGGAAGCAATCCGAGTTAAAAATAGCCCAGGGTGCCTGGGGATGGCAAGTGCTTCAGCCAGCCGATGTAATCTGCTGTCACAAGTCAGCAAGAGCTGCTTGCAACTGCAGGAAGACATGAAAGCCCAGCCTCGGAGACACCTATTTGCTACAAGAAATACAAACTTTTCAGCCAGCTGAAGGACCCTTATGAACGGCGAGGCAGGAATGAATCCTTTACTCGTGCTCGTAAGGGACAAGAGAGCAAACCTCACTGTGCACAGCTGCCATCAGAAAACCTCTTCACACAAGCCTCACTTCAGCAGTTCTTCATATGATGAGCTAATGGCAGTGTATGCTATTCAGCTGATGTATATTGTTTATTCTGTGGGTTAAGAAGGAAGTTACCATGGTTTTTTAAGTGCTGTAAGGGTACTGCAGCTATGGGGCTGTGCTAGCACCAAGGAAGAGAACAGAAGAGTATTCTTCACAGACATGAATTTAACAGCATCATGGTACAAAGTGAAGTACCAATCTGTACATGTGTTCCAGAAGAACACCTCTTCTCAACTCTAGCAAAATAATACCACTGCTGTGATGCACCAGCACTAACCTACATGAGCCCAGCAGCAGTGACATGATTTTCACCTATTCATAGGCTTGGAGGGGAGTATCTGTAATTATTTATTCTCTCATATTACAAGCCAATACATGGTGGGTTTTTTTCTGGCTACTCTTTTTGGATCATGACTCCTGGGTTGAGTGTTTCTGAATACCAGTCATTTCCTTTTCCTGTCCCTTCTACTTCTGACTTGGCACTTCACTGCTTCCGTCTCCAGGAATGCCCCTCGCTGGTTGCTGGCTGGCTTGAGCACTATGGCAAAGAAGGTGAAGCATCAAGAGCCTCCGAACCTGAGGAATTTCAGGATCTTCTCAAGTTACTTTTCTTGAGAAAGGAATTCACCCTTCGTTCACATACATTAGTGGTGCTGTACACACTGAGGTGGAAGATGCAGTTGAAACCCACAATTACATTAACATTAGCAGCTACATTAGCCATATGAAAGCAAGTGCCTCAGGCTTAGGGCAGGATGTGGCTGCCCTAAGGCAAACTGAATGCTTTCACACCAACCTCTGAGCTTGGAATAGGCCTGAGACATAACATCACTGTCAACCATGCCAGGTTCCTCCTTAGATTTCAAGGGCCCAGAACAGTTACCATTGTATTTTGCCACCTTCTTTCACCTTTCTAAGAACATGAGGACTCATGTTCAGTGATTTTAATTCTTTTCTCTGTACACACAATGAAAAAATGTTACATTTGACCCCTTTGCCCCCTGCATTCCCGTTGCTGCTTCCTTCTTGTCATAACTATTAAAATATTTTTTATTTTATTATTTTTTTAAATAGAAGAGCTTGGGGCTCCTGCTTGACCCCAGGTTCACATAAAGGTTTGATCATATGTCGAATGAATTGGGAAGATAATTGCAATCTCTCTAATGCATACTATATGCAAACTCTACTTTTTGTGTTTTGCTTGGTATTTCTGTGGGCCTGAAGGCACAGAGAGAATTCAAAGGTCAGCTGTTAAAGAAATCAGGCAGGAAAAGGAAGGAGTTGACCAGCAGAGGCATCTTAAGCAGAGCAGTGAGGTGCAGAGTTGTGGGAAGCAACTTCTCAGTCCCTATCCTAAGATCTTCTGCTAAGGCTGGGAAAAGGCAAATCAAATTACACAGGCCTGCCAAAAGCTCTGCCTTCTGTAAAGGCAGATGCATGTTATACATGCTTTGGGCTGGTGTGGGGTAAGCAAGGAGAGACTGCTGTTTTGTGAGGGGAAACACTGACAGAATAGGGACACAGAGAAGCCTCTTCTGTGGTTCTGTGCCTAAAGATGACATCTGAACTATAGCTAAGTAGGGTTCAGCAGTATTGTGGTGAAGGTCAGCTTGAGGTAGAGACATGGCAGGCAATGGCCAAAAGCAACCTATGACCAGTAATCAGCAGCACAGTTGCAAGAGTTCTGGAAAGCAAAAAGCCCCAAGTCCAGATATGAGGGATCAATTATTTGGGGAGGGGGCCTGGAGAATGGTTACCCTTCTCCTATGCAGCTTTTACCATTTTCAAATCACCTTGTCTTCCCAGCAGCTTCAGGAAATCCAATTCCTTAGTCTTTCTTCCTAGCTGTCCATCCTATTTCAATCTCGTCTGCCTATCCTTTCCCTCACACAGTGGCCTGGTTCAACCACTTACCTTTGTGATGGCAAAATGCCTTGTAACACCTTTACTTTGTGTTGTGCTTGCACTATTACCAGAGAAACCTCTCCAGGGAAGCTTTGTCAGGTATCAGACCAGCTGCATTCCCAGGCAGCTTACTTGGTCTGGCCTCCTGAGACTTGCTGCAAGTTCTGTGAGTAGCTTTGCTTTTTTAGAGCAAGGTTACTTCAGTCAATTCTTAGAGGCTGTGCACCCAAGGTGTGCTGTGATGTGGTAGAGTAATTTTGAGCTGCATGTCCGTTACGGCTGTTCAACAAGTCTGTTGCAAGCAATGCTGACTTACATCCAGTCGGGCTGTGCTTTGTACAGAAATTGCCAAAGGGAAGGAAACAAAGGAGTTTGCATATCTTTGCACTCTCTGCATCCATGAAGATGTTTGGACCTGGTATGGCCTGCTTTAATCAATGGGTGCTTTCATTTACCCTTGAAGGGTTACTGTGTGCTGTCCCACCCAACCCAGCATGTCTCACAGGTAGTTAGCTCCCTTCACATACAGATACCTCCATAGCAAGTCTCTTCATAGCTTCCCTTACAAAGTCAGGCTCTGATGCTCTCTAGTTCTTAGGCTCTCACATGTGAGAGCGTCCCTGTCATGTGAATGAGCATTCCAGACAGGCCAGGCCTCTGAGAAGAAAACCAGACATATATCAAAGTCCATTAGGGCTGCAAAAGCAGTGTTATCAGGTGGATTCATGCATTTTCTACTAAGCAAGCTAGCAAGGACTTAAATGAGAAAAGGGAGGGGACAGTTGAGAGGTGTATCAGCCTACTTATGAGATATATCAGGTTTGGCATGGAAAGGATAAAAGTCTTTCAGAGTTTAGGATATGAAGGCATAAGCAGCAAAGCAGACTATTCCAGCAATGCCTCTTTGGGCCTCTGTTTGCTCCACCTCCTGAAATATCCTGTATTTCCCTTTTTTCAGAGATGGGTACTGGTGCTGTTGTGTCTCTGGCTATTCAGATCACTGTTGTTGTGGGAAAGGGGAAACGTGGACAGAAAGAAGTTTGCTGTGCAAGCAGGAGCACTTTGTTTGATAGATCTCAAAAGTGCTTTAGAGATTACACATAAAATACTCCTAAAATTTTATTAAGCACACAAAACACACCTCTTGTCCAAGATCAAAAGCGGTTTGGTTTCCCAGTCATACACAGTAAAGAGCAATGTAAAAGAAGTTGTATTTCAGTCATCACTATTCAACATCTTTTTTTCAGCAGGGGACTGGAAAACTGGATGCCATACAACCCAGGTGACAGAACTAGTAAGATAATCTCAGACCAGCTGCAGCAATGCTAGAACCAGGTTCATCTACCAGCAGCACAGTAAGGTTTTGTCACTTTCTCTCGTAAAGGAATAGTGAGCACTGTGTGCCATCCTCTGGCTTTTCAGATTCATGCAGAAATGCTACATGAACATGAAATCCCATTCTAAGAATACCCCGCACCTCCAGATTCTTATTTGCATTGCACAGCAGCTGTGCTAAGTATATAGTCATCCGTCTGTGAGGGACAACACATGTATTTCAAATCTGGTCCTGCCAGGGGCCAAGAAACTGATGCCAGAGCGGTCACTCTGGGGAGAAAGGAAGAAAAAAAAGATGGGATAACAGACAACACGAGAGTGAAAAAATTTATTTCAGAGATGTCATTCATCCATTTGCCTCAGGTATTTCTAAAGTGCTATAGTTTCACTGCACTATCTAAGCACCATTAGCACAGCAGGAATTTACAGAGCTCCCTCAGCTGGCAGGAGGACCTGGGCACCCACTGGTGACCATGGGTCTGGGATGGAGTATGCTAGGGATGGTCTGCCGAAATTTTAATAGCCAATAAACTTTTTATTCCATCTTTTTTTTTTCCCCCGTGGTCTCCCACTATAATCCTAAGGGAGGAGATGGCTGGTAGAGCGCCAGTGAGCTGGCTGCTGTGAAAGTAAACCTTCTGGTTCTTCACTTTTTGCACATGCCCGTACCTCTGCCTTCTGAATTTGGCTCGAGTTTGTGCTGCCTATAAAGTGACTAAATTCCTGGAAGAGGAGGAACATACCCTGTAATTTCTGCAACAGCAAAGGATGGGTGGTGCCCAGATTCTCTTCTCCAGCTGGATGATCACAAACAGTAAAGAGCACACAGGCTAGGGGAAGTGAATTATTTCAGCCAAGTGACACTGAACAGGAAAAACTAACAGTGGCTGTGGAAAGGAACTCCAGAAATGTGCTTACACTGGTGAGCAATCCAGTCCTAAGCCACTAAGACTACTGCACTGGCAATGTGCTGTGAACCCTAAGGCCACTTTGATTTGGCATACAGTTTTAAATAAGTTCATAAAGATTAGAAATAAATGCATCTCAATCCTTTCATTTACAGACCACTGTTAAGTATACACAGCACTTCACAAAGCATGTAGAAGGAAAATAAATGCTCTGAAGACTGCTGTGAAGGCATGTTCAGAGGCAGCTGGCCTCGCCTTCTCAAATCAGTCTTGATGTGAGGGTTTCCCTTTGAGTTGAGGCCAACTATGTGCAGACCTGGGTTTGATTTCATTGATCTGCTAGAGCGATTCCGTTCAGAATGCCAGAAGAAAAGCTGCATTCACAAGATTCTTTTCCCTGGCAAACAGGGCTTCTCAGCCAAACAGTTTCAGTGCTGTAGATTTCCTTTAGGAAACAAAGTGGAATGGGACAGACACACATAAATTGATCAGTTCTACTGCTGGAGTGCAGCATAACCTTTGAATTTAGTTAAAAATGAGCCTACCAACAGAGAACTGTAGTATCCCTTCTGAAAGTCTGCTAGTGAATGAAAATCTTGATGCTTCTGGAACCAACTAGATGACCATTAGTCACATTCCCAAACCACTTTCCAGAAATGGGCAGAAATCAGTAAGTCATTGGTTTGAAGCTGTTCACAGAAAAAGAAAAAACAACAAACAAACAAAACTAAAAGCAAAAATGTGCATTTGAAAACAAAGGCTTTGGTTCCTGTGTAAACAAAGCCCACCCTATTTCTGAAAGCTCCTTCTACTTCCCTGAGCAGCTGCACATAAAGGTGCCTTGTTCCTCTAGGAGCAGCAAGTAATTTCATGCTCCCCTTACAGCTCCTTTTTATTAAACTATATGAAAATAACATTTTATCAGCAGTTGAGTGTCAAGAAAGTGGCTTGGGGCTTACAGAAAGGATCCCTGCAGTCTCCTGGGGAGCAGCAAGTTCTGTAAGGCAAACCATCCACAAGCATCTGTGGCCAACAGCTGCTCAAATCCATGGATGTTCTTAGCATCTTTATTTCCTTCATCTCTTCCCCACCACAGCTCCAGTCTTTTCACTGGCTTCAGTCTGCAATCCTTTTTCCAGAGACCTACCGAAGCCATGAAACCAGTTGCAGGATTAGTAATGTACATCACAAAACCACAAACTTTTTACTAAGCTCCAGCAGTCCTGGGTAAGCACACCAGTCCATACCACCACTAAAACGATCAGCAGCAAAAGTCAAACATATAAACAATGTAAAGTGTTGCACTGCAATTCCTTGTAGTCAAAACCATGAGGGGAGGTGCATCCTACAACTGCCACCAGTATGTACCTGTGTAAAATGAGGAGGAAAATTACTATACACTGAGTGACATTTAGAAGTCATTACTTGCAACCATAGGAGCCAGAATTTTTTTTATAGATATATAAATAAAACAACTCAATTCCGGGTCTTATACACACACACACACACACACACACACACACACACACACACACACACACACACACAAAGTATTCAGTGTAAAACTGAACGTTCTGATATGAAAATTCAGATGTTCTGGTACAAAATCTGTATCTCCCAGCTTCTTATTGATGAATGCAAGCGTATACAGTATGTTTTGTGTTTTGAGAAGTACCGATATGGTGTACTGTTGTATAGCTGGTCATTTTTACTACTGCCATGGTTTGTGCACGCACGATTGCTCACATGAGAATGTGAAGATACACTTAGTATGAAAGCTAGTTTGTATGTATGCGAATACATACATATAGATGTTATCTACACACTCGTGCACACACATACTGGTCAAAACAGGACTTGAGAAATACTGGTATGGAATCATGTCAGTCCTAGTACACTGTTATTCTGTTCCATTTTGCAACACAGCTTACACCAGTCCACTTGAACCATACAAGTGAACCCAAATTCTGTAGAATGAGGATGCTAAAAGCACAAACTCACAGGCGACCTCCATATGCCTGTCGAGTTGTGTACTGCAATCTCAGCAGCAAGTATCATTCCAATTAATGTTTTTTAAAGTCTTCAGGTATGATAGCTTTCTACATCAGTTACCCACCAGTTCTGAGATTCCAGAACAGGCCATGCACCTATCCTACAGTCCCCTCATTCCTTCCATCCAAGCAGCATCTTGCAGAAAACCTTTCCAGGCATGCCTTCCTTCTCTGGTTCAGGGTATGTCTACATGCCCAAGGTGTGCTGAGGGGAAGAGCAGGTGACTGAGATGAGCAACACGGGCCAAGGGCATTACTTTGGCCAGCTGCCTATATAATCCAGGGGCCCTGGTATAGTCACATCCTTGTCCACCCCTTGTTCCTTAGGCACATTTCAGACAGGCCGAGACCAGGAGCTACATCCTAGATCACTCCCAGACAACACCTAGCTGCCTACCACACATGTACTCGCTGGTGTGAGACTAAGTAGGAGTTGCGACTGAAGCTCTTCCCACAGTGGGAGCACTGGAAAGGTTTCTCCCCGGTGTGGGTACGACGATGACGGATGAGAGTAGAGTTGTCACTGAAGCAGGTACCACACTCAGCACACTTGTAGGGTTTCTCCCCAGTGTGGGTGCGACGGTGCTGGACAAGGTGTGAGCGCTGGCTGAAACTCTTCCCACAGTCAGGACACAAGTATGGCTTCTCACCTGTGTGGACACGGCGGTGGATGACCAGCTTAGAGCTCTCGCTGAAGCACTTGTTGCAGTCAGCACACTTGTAGGGCTTCTCACCTGTGTGGAGCCGCTGGTGAGCAATGAGGTTGGAGCTGTCACTGAAGCGCTTCCCGCACTGTGAGCACTTGTAGGGTTTCTCACCTGTGTGGAAGTTGGCATGTCGGAGCAGGCCTGAGTTCTGGTAGAAGTTTCTCCCACACTTGGCACAGACATAAGGCCTCTCGCCAGTGTGGTTGCGCTGGTGCTGCACCAGGTGGGTGCTCTGGCTGAAGCTCTTCCCACAGTCCTTGCATTGGTATGGCCGCTCACCCGTGTGGACGCGCTGGTGCTGGATGAGGTGGGAGCGGCGGCCAAAGCTCTTGCCACAGTCGGCGCACATGTATGGCTTCTCCCCAGTGTGGATCCTCTGGTGGCGGATCAGGTCGGAGCTGCGGTTGAAGCTCTGCCCACACTCGACACAGATGTAGGGCTTCTCTCCCATGAATGCCCGCTGGTGCACCACAGTCTCCTTACGCTTTCGGAAGCCACAGCGAGAAGTCTTCTCCAGCCCCGTGTCTGGGGAGGGAGGGCCTGGCCTCAGATGGGACACTTCCTGCTCACGGCCTGGAGAAGCTTCCCCTATGAAAAAGTCTGAAAGGGTCCCACAGCGCTCAGCTGCCTCAGGCCCATCTCGCTGGAGCTCCGCCTCATTTTCACTCATGCTCCCATCACCTACAGAGGCAGAAGAAGCCAAACACAACCAACACGTTTAGTCACAATCTGCACACCTCCCTTCTCTCCACCCAGCCTGGCCACCCCACACCTGTGCCTTCCCGCCTAGCCCGGGCCGGCCCTGCTGCTTCCAGGCGAGAGGTGAAGGTGTCAGGACCAGCTCCATCCTCCCTCGCTGCCACCCGCCACCCTCGACCGACGCGGGCGCTGGGGAGGGGGTGACGCCGCGCCAGCCCGAGGGGGCTGGGTCGGGGCACTGAAGGCCGAGGCGCTGGGCCAGGGGATGGGGCGCCAGGAGCGGGGAGGCCGGCAGTTAGCGGCGAGGCCTGGCGGCAGCACTCAACCGGCCCTCCAGAGCCCCGCCGCGGGGGCAGCACAGCCGGCAGCGCTGCGGAAACACCACCCCCCGCCCCGGGTGCACCCCGCAGCCCAGACCCCGGTGCCCCAACTGCCCGGTCCCGAGGCCAGCGACCCGCCGTGCCCGCCTCACCTCCGCCCGGCGGCACGGCCCCAGCCCGACCCGGGCGGGCGGAGGGGGCGCCGGGCACAGCCCCGGCTGGCGCGGCGGGGCCACCGGCCGCGGGAGGGGAAGTTCCCCGCGCGGAGCCCGCCCCGCCGGCACTTCCTGCGGCTCCCGGGAGGAGGCCGGTCGGCCTCTATGGCTGTAACCCTTCCGGCCCCGGGCCGCCCTGCCCTCCGCTCCTCACGGCGGCGGTCGGAGATACCCCATTCCCAGCCGGGCGCTGGGCTGCAGGAGGCGATGGCATGCGAGGCCCGGCCTAGGGGCCGGTGGAGCCCCTCCCAGCCCGGGCGTCTGCCACCGGCCGCTCCCGAGCTGGGGAGCACCTGGCAGCTGCCCCGGGGCGGCCACCATCCTGCGAGGCCTGATCTGCCCCGGCTCTGGCCGCTGCTCCTCTGTGCCCACCCTGCGGTGTGACCTGCCCTGTGCCCGGCCCTGTTCAGGGACTTGGATGTAACCAGCAGAGGCTGGAGCGGGCCTGGGCATGGCACAGGGATATAGCTGTGCTCACTCGAAGCGTAGGATCTGCACTTAGATGGGGGCAGCGGGTACTAGGAAGCAAGAAGGACTGAGGTTTCATGGGCATCCTCAGTTGGCTGTCCGTCCTGCCCTCTTGTTCCATGGTTTCCAGTTCCTTCAGTCCTGTCCCACAGCCCACAAGCTTCCTCACACTACCACGTTTTCCATTGTCTCAGTTGTTTTCTTCACCTGACACTCCCCAGCATGTCTTGTATCACGCCTGGCTCAGCTTTCTCCCTCATGTTTCTTTATTCTGGCTCTAGAATAAAGAGAAGACTTTGAGGAGACCTTATTGGGGCCTTTGAGTATATAAAAGGGGTGCATAAAAACAGTTATTACCAAGGCCTGTCATGACAAGGGACAATGGCTTTAACCTGAAACAGGGCAGATATAGATCAGATATAAGAATGTTTGTTTTTACCATGAGGGTGGTGAGGCATTGGAACAGGTTGCCCAGAGAAGTTGTGGCTGCCCCATTGTGGGAAGTGTTCAGATTGGACAGGGTTTTGAGGAACCCAGTCCAGTGCATGATGCTTCTGCCCATGGTCCCTTCCAAACCAAACCATTCTCTGATTCCGAATTTCAGCACCTGATGTGTTCCCAAACTGTTCTATAAATGAGGATGTTGGTTGTTCTGAATAAAGGAAACTTGGAGCACACAGGCCAAAAAAAAGGGTTTTACCAAAGGTAAGAAAGAAGCCTAGATTTTCATGAGACCTTCGTGCAGTTGAGTCTTTTTAAAGTACCAAGCCAATCAAGAGAACAGGACACACCTACTTTTCGCTCAGGATGCAAAGGTTTGCAGAACCTAAACTGACACTTGTCTCTATATGCTTAAATACTGACAGGAATATTCATTTAAAAATTGACTATGATTGTTAAATAATCAGAGGTAAATGCTAGTATTATACACAGTTACTCAAAGCAGAAGAAACAAAAACTTTTTTTTGTGCTTTGCTGCCCTTGAACAAATTTACCCCAACTTTTCCTTCTGACCAAATATGGTGGGAAGACAGCTCTGTTGTCCCCACTGTATATCCTGAATTCTTTTCTGGTTTATTCCCAGTCCTTTTTAAACAGCTCTGTCTAGTAATTGTTTTACAGACCTTATACCCAAATGTTGCTCCACTGAGGTAAGTGTTGTTGACCAGGAGAATTAGCCATTGCAAGAGAGAAACTAAGTTGTGTAAATAAGATAACGTGTTTCATGAGATGGAAAAAAAGAGGGAGGATCAGTGAACTACATACCCTCAGAGTGCCTGGTATAGTCAGCGGGAGGAGGAGAAAGCATTGGCTAATGTCTTTTTCACAGGGGCTGCAAGGGAGCACCAGCTTAAAATCTTGAAGAAAAAATTTTAAGGAGCAAACGGTAAATGGGGAGAATGTGGTAGCCATTGTGTTCAGCCTGTTATCTGCAAGCTGGAGATGTGTTATGTGGGATGAATACCTGGAAAATAACCACAGGTAGGGAAGACGGAACCTGGGATCATATTGTGAGTAAGGCAATTAGGAGTACAGCACAGAGGAAGGTTCCATTAACATTTACATGCCAGTGCAAAAGAAGATGCTGATCCTAGGACAGGACAACATCAACATCACAGAGGGTGGAGGCACAAAGGAAGTGGATATGAAAGAGGACGTGTAGCTGTTTGGGAATGTGTGTTTTCTGTTGCACAGTGCTTCCATATCTTTGAAGTGACATGGGTGAAGGAAATGGAAATGGAGCCAATTGCTCACTGGGTAAAGAAAAACTCGGAAGATGGCCAGGGACACATTGCTAAAGCTTTGAAACACAATACTCACAGAGGTGAGCATCATAAGAATAACAGCAATAAAATGTTGGAGGATGACAGCAGGATGGTTTGTTGTGAATAATTTATAGGAGTTTAATTCATACAAAAATAATTTATAGTACGGATTTTTATCATACATTAAATCACCAAGTGAGCAAATTTGGATTAAGTAAGTGATATTAATCATATTTTGTAGGCATAACTTTTAAAGGGTTTTCTTCCCTAAAGGAAAAACTTATTGTTTGATGAACACTTAGAAATCTTAAACTAAGAGTAATCTTTTCACAAAATACCCCCCCCGCCTTTTTTTTTATTGAGGAGGATACATATACATACAATTAGTTGTATAAGTTAACATGTGTTTATTTAACTCACATAAATTTTCAGTGCCATGACTGTAAACTGTTAAATTCCTATTTATTAAATACATCCTTTGTTTATCGCAGGTCTGACAAGATGCTTGTGGAATTGGAATAGTTGAGAAGAAAAAACTAGAATTTTGAATTTGTCTTGTAAGTGAAATATGATGAATAGAACTAAGAAATGCTATATGTTTAAAGTTGTGATATTTATTAACCAATGCTTAAGAAACTGAGGTGGTAATTGTAATAGGTCTCACACCTAATGATTATTCAGGTTGGAAAGGGAAACTAAGCTGTAATACTGTATGTTTGTGGATGATCTTCTGTAAGACTTTTGCAACAGGTATACTGTGCTTCAGTTTATTTTTTAATTATAAGCCAAATTATTTTTACAGGTTACTGTAAATCTGGGCTTTAAAATGGATGGTCATCTTTTCATGTGTAATTTAAATAGGTTTAACCAGGGAAAAAATTACACTCATAGTGAAGATAAAACAAAACAACAACCCAAACTCAAAACAGCCAAAACCATTAAAATATCTCTAGTTTAAAATTAAACAGAACCACAAGAGAAAATACTTATTATCAACTTGGCTGGCTGCTTATGCTTTCACACCATTCCCTTCCCAGACTCTCTCCCATTTCAAGTGCTGTGTGTCCTCTGATATGTTGACAAATAATATGCGGCCTTCTAGTTCCCAAACCAAACTCTCTTAAGATAAACTCTTACAGAAGGACTGGGTCACAGACACTGGCTTCTTGATAGCTCCCCAAGTTCTTCCTTTCTTTCTCCTTTGAAATGCTGTGCAGATTCCTCCTGCCTTTCAGCAGTTCATACCATCTCGTATGTACCAGTCTGAGGTGGTCTGCCATGAGTCCCAGAGTATGATCTATTACAGGTTCATGGCCATCAATGATATTGGTATGTGGCTCTCCAGGTCTCACAGACTGTGAAGAATAATGGTCTGCAAACCACTTTCCCTTTTCTGGTTTGTGCTAATGGAGAATTTCCTTCTGCCCTCTGCGCTTCTGGTTACATTGGAAAGTGTCCTGTTGGTTCCCTGTAGACTTAGATGTCTCATCACCTTTGGGACTTTGAGGTCAGATGACAGTTGAGGCTTTTTCAGCACTTGGTTTTATTTTGGCATGGTCCTATCTGCCCAGGTGTTTACTGCTAGTACTTTGCTATTTATTTTTGTCCCAGATTTATATGTACCACTTGCCCTGTGTTGGTTTGCTGAAACTGTGGTGCTTGGTGGTTACTAACGTAGCTATTTCATGGTTATATACAGATGTTGCTCATCTGTGCATAGTGTTTTGGATCTGTTGCTACAGAAGGTACCCTAGCTGAGAAAATTCTATCCACCTTGTGGTATTAGCCTTTAAATCTGTGTGGATTAGTGATTACTCCTCTTTAAACAAAACCACATGTTGGACATACAGTTTTTACTTCACACAGAGGAGCAGGAACACTTGCTCCTTACCATAAGGTAAAATGAAAAATGTGTAATTTTAGTATCATCTCATGCTGTTTGAAATGTGGTCTCCCACACAATAATAATCTTGTCATCTTCAGACTTGATGACTGAGAGTCTTTCTTGTGCCTGGGTTCACTTTTCACATCCAGAGTTTAGCTGATACCATTACAGACAGATGTAGCCAGTAAATGTTTACCAGCTGCATAGATGTCTTACGTAGCTCAGGATGACAGTTACATTTTGATCTCACAGGCAATGAACACTTTGCACCAGATACATGAGGTCATGTTTTGTCAGTCCTTGTCCTTGTTTCCTTCCTGGAATATGGACCTGGAGCCTTACTGTGCCTAAGGTGAAACACTCAACAGTCTTAGATGAGTTACATTCACAATCTTAGACATATTACCTCTTCCCTGGGAGGTAAGGAAATGTGATTTTGACTAATACCGGACTGGGGAACAGAGGCTAAAGTCTAGTTGCACCAGTCAACAAGTGGCAGATAGTTAAATACCAGCAGCTCTGGCACTGCACAGCTTATGCAAGTACAACTGGCAGGACATGGAAATGAAGCTAGCACTTCGGAACCTGGAGGGAACATCCCAAAACATTTATTTAATTTGTGGATATGAATGTCACCTGGTTTCAGCTGGGATAGAGTTAGTTTTCCTCCCAGCTGGCACAGTGCTGTGTTTTGGCTTTAGAGTGGCAACAATGCTGATAGCACACCGATGTTTTAGTTGTTGCTAAGTAATGCTTACTCTGATCAAGGACTTTTCATTCTCTCATGCTCTGCCACCGAGGAGAGGCACAAGAAGTCAGGAGGGAGCAGAGACAGGACATCTGATCCAAACTAGCCAAAGGGGTATTCCATACCACAGCACGTCATGCCCAGTATATGAAATGGGGGAGTTATCTAGAAGGGGTATTATTATTATGACTTTATTTCAGTTGTTTAACTGTTCTTACCTCAACCTACAAGTTTTACCATTTTTTTCCCAATTCATCTCCACATCCCACCAGGGTAGGGAAAGAGTGAGCAGCTGCATGGTGCTTACTTGCCAGCTGGTGTCCATCAAAGTCTGTGGTAGTTTCAAATAATTTTCCTTTCAATCACTTACTTTAAGCATGAAAGAAGAGGCCCTTTTACTTGGGACTCTAAATCCATTTATTGCCTTCTTCACTGTGAGGCTGGCAAAGGAGTCTTTCTGGTCTTCATATTCCTGGTCTCAGGACA